CCGACCGATCATCCACAGCTGATTTGTCTATTGTAGCCGGGCGGTCATCCGTAGCTGATTTACGTACTGTAGCCGGTCGATCATCTGTAGCTGGCTTATCTGTTCTAGCCGGTCGATCACCCTTGGCCAGTTGATCTGCTGTAGCCGGTCGGTCATCCGTAGCTGGTTTATCTACTGTAGCCGGTCGATCATCCGTAGCTGGTTTGTCTACTGTACTCGGTCGATCATCCGTAGCCGGTTTATCTGTTCTAGCCGGTCGACCACCCTTGGCCAGTTGATCTGCTGTAGCCGGTCGATCATCCGTAGCTGGTTTATCTATTGTAGCCGGTCGATCATCCGTAGCCGGTTGATCTGCTGTAGCCGGTCGGTCATCCGAAGCTGGTTTATCTACTGTAGCCGGTCGATCATCCGTAGCTGGTTTATCTACTGTAGCCGGTCGATCATCCGAAGCTGGTTTATCTACTGCAGCCGGGCGATCATCCGTAGCCGGTTGATCTGCTGTTGCCAGGCGATCATCCGTAGCCGCTTGATCTAAGAAAGGCGTCCCGTCGTCCGGGGCTGGCCGATCATCCGTAACTGGTCCATTACCTGTGCCAGGTCCACTAGATGTACCCGGCCCGTTATTTGTAGCTAGACGATTATCTGTAGCCGGTCGATCATCCGTAGCCGATTGATCTGCGGCAGCTGGTCGGTCATCCGTAGCCGGTTGATCTGCGGCAGCTGGTCGGTCATCCGTCGCCGGTCGATCTGCGGCAGCTGATCGGTCATCCGTAGCCGGTTGATCTGCGGCAGCTGGTCGGTCATCCGTAGCCGGTTGATCTGCGGCAGCTGGTTGGTCATCCGTAGCCGGTTGATCTGTAGCAGCTGGTCGGTCATCCGCAGCCGGTCGATCTGCCGCAGCTGGTCGATCATCCGTAGCCGGTCGATCTGCCGCAGCTGGTCGGTCATCCGTAGCCAGTCGATCTGCGGCAGCTGGTCGGTCATCCGTAGCCAGTCGATCTGCGGCAGCTGGTCGGTCATCCGTAGCCAGTCGATCTGCCGCAGCTGGTCGGTCATTCATATCCGGTTGATCTGCGGCAGCTGATCGATCATCCGTAGCCGGCCGATCTGCGGCCGCTGGTCGGTCATCCGTATCCGGTTGATCTGCGGTAGCTGGTCGGTCATCCATAGCCGGTCGATCTGCGGCGGCTGGTCGATCATCCGTAGCCGGTCGATCTGCGGCGGCTGGTCGATCATCCGTAGCCGGTCGATCTGCGGCAGCTGGTCGGTCATCCGTATCCGGTTGATCTGCGGCAGCTGGTCGGTCCGCCGTGCCGGGCCGAGGCTGAGTTTGCATCGCGGCGTCGGTCGTCTCGGCAGAGGCGAAGCCGCGGCGTGGCGTCATGGACCAGGTGGGGCGACGCGGCGACATCACGCGCCGCTGGCGTCGGACGCGGCGTTCGGGGCTCGGCTGCGCTGCCGTCAGTGGTGACGTCTGTAATGACGCGAGACGCGATTTGCGATGCGTGCAGGATCTCGCCACGGGAGCATTTGCAAAGTCGTATCGAACTCACTGATCAGGTTCGCCAGTGCATGCTGTCAGACATTTTGTAGGTGGTGGCTTGAAAACAGCGCTCGAATGCTATGTGCAAACCAACGATATAATCACATGGCCCAGTGGCCTTGATTTATAACAGGGATCGCAACAGATAGCTTCCACGGACTTATCAAAGGTCAGAGTATGTCACCGATTTAAAATGGCCCAGGTCAACGCTTTGTTTTGAAAAATATGTCGCATGACAATTCTTGACGCTCACTCAAATGCAAAAATCAAAACAATCTTGCAGAATACGGTCACCGTGATCTTCCAAAGGTCAAACAAGGTAAACGGACCTAAAATGAACAATGATGACATTTTCCTTAGAACAGGTACCCGGGTACAGGGCAGTTGCATCGGGATGTCCGAGGGGACTTAACACGGGATGTCCGAGGGGACTTAACACGGGATGTCCGAGGGGACTTAACACGCGCCCGAGTGGCGGGATGCCCTTCGCTGGGATGGGGGGGGGGGGGGTGCAATGTGCCCTACTGATATCCCAATAACTTATGTCTGGAGAGATAAAATTTACAAGGCGTGTTGGTCTGTACGTGAGCTTACTTGCCTCAGAGTTTGAGGTTCCAGGGTTATGACCTTCGCGCCAAATATAATCATAACAAAGTCAAACTACAGATTGCTGTCCAAAGTGCCCCATACTTTCTCATGCAACCACCGTGAACCTAGATACTTGTTTTTAAGCAAAACGTCACTGGTGCCCATTAAAGTAAGCGACCTTGCTCGACCTTTCGAAAGAAATGGTGGTCAGAATAATACCAGACTGCGTTGATGGTGCATTTGAAGAAGCGTCAAGGATTACGCTGAGTCGTATACTCCCTAAAAACAAAATGTTAATCTGGGTCATTTTAGGTAAGACCTGACCCTCATCCTGACCCTTGATCGATGGAATTTATTGTTTCAATTCTTGTGATGCCTAAAAAACCTCTCCGATATGTTGAACTTCGTCCAACACTCCGCTGTTGCATCATGCTGAACGAGTCCCTAGAAAATATTTTCCCTGAACCCATAGCCTGTTTGAACTGCCGTAAGTTGGCGACCTTATGAGGGACATCTAAACTCTTAGTGCCAAACGATCCACTATTCAATTTTCTACAATTTTGCGAGATTTGGTGTGGTGTGCTAAAACATCTATCTTGACTTCGACCTTATTCGACGTTATTAGACCCGAAGGTCATAACTTGGAACCTCAAATTTTGGCACAAGTGGGCTGACATACAGACTAATTCACCTTGCGAATTGGTGCCTCTGGCTCTTAGTTTTTGAGAATTAAGGGGGTTCAAGTTACCCCCACCCGAGCAAGCCTGTTCAGCAGGCCGCCCGGGTGCGTGTTAAGCGACGCTATAGAGCGAGCATTGGCTACAACTAAACACGTGTTTGCTCCGTAACGAGGTTTAACAAGTACCTCCAGGCAAAATGAAGGCCGATAACTCAGCATGGGAAGCATGCGCAAAGTTTTCAAGAAGTCGGGGACCGCCTTGCCTGGAGCGACAATTTCAAGTTTGCGGCGTTGTGTTTGCGGAACGCGGGGTGTCTTTGAGGGAAGAGCATGAGGCTGAAAGGCTGCACAATGATGAACATAACACTCACCGCTCTTACCAAGTCCCTCGGAGCCGACCTCCGCCCCTCGCTCCGCCCTCCGACTGAGCTGACCCGGCCCGGCCTGACCCCACTGACCCCCGGCCGGGCGGCCCGACCGGTCCGGGTCACGCCTCGGGGCACCGCTGGCTCTGCTCGACAACGACGGGTGCAGTGGCGGCGCCAGGGAGGTCCGGATAGAGGACATCACCGCTGGCGTAGTCCGCTGAGTACACGGATAGGATTGGCAACGGGCTGTGTAAGGTCACAGACTGGGAATATTTAGGTTACGGATACGGGTGTGGGCAAGACGTTCACGAAATGTCGGTTAGGTACTCATCGAGTCTAGTGAAATTGTACAGCTGCACTTCTTTTAAGCGTAATTATCCCATTTTACTACTTTTTAAATTACCAACGCATAAAAACAACCTTGGGTGTAAACATTCCTAAAACTCCAAAACTCAGAATCAAAGGGCCGGAAAATGCAAATGGGTGCGTCGCTAGGAACGGGCAGCGGCAGAGTATGGGTACAGTCCCGTAGGCAGGAAGTGCATCGGGCACGTGATGCTGCCAGTGCTAGCCGTCAGCGCAGGTAGAGCAAAGTCACACCGTTCACGCCTGAGGGAGTAAGTGCGTTATGAAGCCCGGTTAGGCACGAATCCAGCCGTGTCTTCGCCAGTTTCACACGTTCTGGCCGCGGCCATGGTGTCGCCGCCATGCCGCAATGATGTTGCTTGAAGTCGGGCGGTCTTGCAGCTGACGACTGCCGAAAATGGCGTAGCAACACATCAGCGATGGCCGAGCAGAAGCCAAGAAGTTCTGAACCTCTCATCCGCCGCTGTGGAGCCCTGAGGAAACGGGCCAGTGGGGTACCACTCACACCTTAAAAGCGCAGTGATTTTCCCCATCGAGGGGTTAGTTGGTCTGTTGGTGCCTTCTGAATACAAGCGCGGAAGTGCTGTAAACCTTTGTTTGGGATATGTTTGGTATAAAACATTCGGTTGCACGTAGAGAGAAATGCGCACGCGGTACTCTTACATCGGTTCGTCGTCATCCAATACCGCCTTTAACGCTAGCGGCCGGCCCACGCGGTAGCCCGCTCAACTTTGCCTCGCATGCGGGGTCGTCTGGCGGAAATTGTGCGGTGTTCCGACTTATCATCGTACAACAGCCTGTTCGGAACACTTAAGTGTCATTCGCACTCAGATGCTCCAGTTGCAACACCCAGGACCGTGATGGCAGCTTCATCTCGAACCTTCACACCGCTCCCTGCGATGAGTCTGAAAAACGTGCAGGCCGTGGGAGCAGAACACGCGTCTCACAGTCTGGAGGGTCATACTCACGACGCGCTCATTGTGTGCCGTTTTAGACTTGAACCTGGCGTCTCAGCTGGTCTTGTTTTGCTGTGCTGCAGTAGTTATTTGTTCTGTCACCGTTGTGAGTTTTTTCACGGCGCGGCAAGTCCACGTCAGAAGGCGGCTCCGGGCTGACAAGTTGTACTCATGGTGTGCTCAGCAGTATGTTTGGAGCGCTCGCCAGCCGCCGCCAACACGGCTCGGTCACTAGGCTTGCGACCTGAACCTGTCACGCTCTCTCACATGTCATCGCCCACCCTCTGTTCCTTCACTGGCCCGGCGTCTTCCATCTCTGGCCTGCCCTCCGACCCGGTGTCTGACATGTCACTGTCCTCCTGCGTTGAAGTCACCATTTTACTTGTCCCGTGATCTGCAGTCTCATTTAGCCCCTGGCCCACCGTCTGATCCACGCTCTGACCCACGCTCTGACGCACGCTCTAACGCACGCTCTGACCGGCACGTTGACCCGATGCCAGGGCGGCCTTCTTCAAGCTGGTGGCGTCCACGTGCGACACCAGCTTCCACCAGCCGGTGGAGAAGGTGCTGGGTCACCTGGCGCCCGAGGGCACGCGCCTCACAGAAGACCACGCGCGCAACCTCTTCTTCGGCGACTATCTCTTCCCCGACAACGACCCCAAGATCTACGACGAGGTTAGGGCGCTGGTGCGGACGCGGGAGCAGCAGGGCGCGGCTGGGTTGGATAGGTGCGCGTAGATTTGGGGCGCGCCGTCCCAAACAAGAAGAGCGAGCATCAAATTTGCATTTTTCGTGTGAGCATTTTAGGTGGTTGGCTCTGTTAAGTCCACATTAAGTAGAAAAGGACAGATGCTCTGATCGTCACTTGGAAGTATAGTTGCTTGGAAGTAAATATATATATATATATATATATATATATATATATATATATTTATTTATGTATGTATGTAGCTACTTGGAAGTAATTAGAATTGGACAACGCACCGCCCAAGCGGCTCGGGCCCATACCTGCATCAGCTAGGTGGTCACCGTTGAAGCCCCATACTGTATTTCAGCATGAAGCCTCACACACTGCCTCATTACAAGCTTTGCCAGATTTCATGACGGTACGTGAATTCTGTGACGTGCGTTACATATCCGAGAGTTGTTCGATGTCGGCGCACGTATGCCGGGCTGTCAGCTGAAGGCCCGGCTGATACTGGATACTGGATGCTGTTCCAGATCACGGAGCTGGACGCGCTGACGGAGGTGATGGAGGGCTACCTCAGCGAGTACAACATGGTCAACAAGACGCCGATGAACCTGGTCATGTTCAAGTTCATCATAGAGCACATCAGTCGGATCAGCCGCGTGCTCAAGCAGGACTCCGGTGAGGGTGTGGCCGGTGCTCGCCGAGAAAACTGGGATGCGGGGTATTGCACTGCAACATAATTATCACAAGTCAGACCTCTTTGCAATACAGTGCACGAACTGGTCCACATAGGATGACGCATTGCAAGCGTACGGTGTGGTTTTGTTGCAAGTTGCCAATCACGAGCATTTCTTCAGTGTTCTGAGGCGCCAATATGCCGCCAGTTTACACCTGATGTATGTGGGCATTGCATGCTACAGCGTCTACGACGACCTATGTGCGTTAGCTTAGCGGTCTGTCATCAGTGCATGGTTAACAGCTTAACAGGTTGGTTAAGGTTGGTAGCTTAACAGGCTGGTAGTCTGTCGTGCGATGGCTTACGTCGCTAAAACTCCAAACGGCTGTATGCAGTCTCTCGAAGACTTCGCTGCACATTTCCCATGTTTTGCCGTGGGCGTTCTGCCCGCCGCGGGCGACCCGTGACCGTGGCCCGTGACCCCAGGTCACGCCCTGCTGGTGGGTATCGGCGGCAGCGGCCGACAGAGCGCCACCAAGCTTGGCCGCCTTCATGGACAACTTCGACCTGTACCAGGTCAGCCGCGCCCCCCCGCCTGGTCTGTGGTGTGCATGTCCCGCCCGACTCCAGAGCTCCCGGCTCCGGGGCTTCCGGACCCCCGGCTGCCGGTCTCCCGGGTCCTCGGTCTCCCAGGCTCCCGTCTCCCGGGCCGGTCTGGAGCGTGCCGGGTCCTGCCGGGACCAGCTGGGCACCGCTGTCCGCCGCTGAGGGCGCGGCACTGACCGTCAGCTGGGCACCGCTGTCCGCCGCTGAGGGCGGGACACCGACCGTCAGCTGGGCACCGCTGTCCGCCGCTGAGGGCGGGGCACTGACCGTCAGCTGGGCACCGCTGTCCGCCGCTGAGGGCGCGGCACTGACCGTCAGCTGGGCACCGCTGTCCGCCGCTGAGGGCGGGGCACCGACCGTCAGCTGGGCACCGCTGTCCGCCGCTGAGGGCGGGGCACCGACCGTCAGCTGGGCACCGCTGTCCGCCGCTGAGGGCGTGGCACCTGCCGTCAGCTGGGCGAGGCGGAGACGCGCCCCATGTCACGTCTGAGTCCTCGGTGTTACCGTGCGCACGGCGTGCCGCTGATGGCGTTATGGTTTTATCTCCCCCGTTGTGCCGTTAACGGTGAGTTGCGACGCTCCAAGCTGAAGGAGCTACACGCGTGGCGAAATAGCCAGCACTTTCCAGTCCATAACCAGGCTAACCAGTTAGCCAGTTTCTGCTATTGGGTACGGACATCAGTCATTCAGCCTGCGCCCGTCAACCATCAGCATGCGCCGCCAGTCATCAACCTGCACCGTAAATCATCAACCCGCGCCGTCACTCATCAGCCTGCGCCGTGAATCATCAACCGGCGCCGTCAGTCATCAGCCTGCGCCGTCAGTCATCAACCTGCACCGTAAATCATCAACCCGCGCCGTCACTCATCAGCCTGCGCCGTAAATCATCAACCTGCGCCGTCAGTCATCAGCCTGCGCATAGGCGGTTGCGGTTCGTTGTTTGTGTTGCATTGTTTCTCAAGCTCGGATTGACACGCCGGTGTGAAGCATCTCCCCTCTGCGGGGGCCACCAGCAGAAATCGTCTTGTTCTGGGCGACCTGTTAATTCCCATTGACGATCGCAGCAATTCATGAACTTGAACCAACCAAAATGGGGTCCATCAGCATCGTGATTAGCATGAGGTGGTCATCTTGGCGGTTTCTGAAAATGATATTTTAAACCAATGGCATACGCAAATGGAAATACCAGTAGGAGGGATGTGAAACCCAACGATAAAACAAGTACGCTTATTTTCCTCTCGCCAATAGCTGACTTCATATGCACACAACCATATATATAACAGCTTATCGCAGTCTCTGCCTGCAGCGCGTGAAAGACTTGTGGGCGTGAGCTGCTGGCAAAGCAACGTTTTCGTTGGATAATTGTAATAGTTATTTTCAGAAGAAAGTATTAGGTGGTCATTGTTGGGGATTCCCACCAATTACCATGCTTAAATTGGTCGTGTCGGGAGTATGCATGCTGGATGCGGGTGATCGATGCCTAAAATACAAAGCATCGCCTGCGTTTAAACCTAGCAGATGAAGGCAGGATATACCGCTTTCAGAGCAGGCACCGCATGCCCAACGTGGTGATTTGGCCGCTGCTGAAACACAGAGAGGCCGCGTAGTCTTCGCGTGCTGTAAATACTAGCGCGTCATTCTGTGCTGCAGAATGTTGCACCTGCATGCAGCTTGTATATTGCTGTCATTGCCCTCAACTGCTTCATCGGATGAGTGAGCAAATTCAAGGACTCACGAAATGCTGGCGGGCCACGCTATGCTAAATGTGGCGTCGTGTGTTTTTACTCTGCATGACAATATCGGAGGGCATCAAAGCCAGACAACAACGGGCGTGGCTATGACTAACAGCCGGGCTCAGACCGGGGCGGTCTCCTGGAACACGTGCTGCACCCTGTAAACAAGGGTCGCCTCGCACAGCTGTACTCATTGTTGTGACTGCGTGCAACTGCCCGAACAATGAATAATCGCCTCGTACTAACACCTGGATGACGTCCAAATGTCTCCCGGTTTGGACGTTATCGCGTAACGAATTTGCTTTTTCCGCCCGACACAGGCGACTTGCTAAGTTCGTAAGTTACCACGGCGGAAAATCCAGGAGCCTGGACCCCTGGCCGAATGTACCTGCCCGTACGGCGCTGGCGTTGACAGCTTTCGCAACGGCTGGCGCGTTACCAGGCAGCGGCGTGATCGTGAAGGCATGGACGAGCTGCTGGATGAAATCGCCACTAGCCGGGCTGGAGGTCGACTCTGCTCCGCTTATCCGGCCGTGACGCGGGCCCAGCGCGCGTGGGCGGGCGATTGCGCCCGGCTTCCGACACGGAGCGATCCGTGCACATTTGATTCGCTTTCCACGGGTCGTGAGCTTAACGGTGGCAATCTGGAAGCAGTTCCAGCACACTGCTGTGCGGTGACACGAGCTTGAAGATCATGCGAGGTCTTAGGCTGGAGCTGGATTTTGCACGCCGGCAAATATGTATCGAGTCTTTAATCTGTCACCTATGTCGGAATATCAGCATCCAGTCGGAGCGACACGTTTCCATCTGTCTTAGGGACGATCGGACACCCGGAGGCGGTTCCGTTGCCGAGGCACACACAACATCGGAGTGAGCACGAAATTATGCGCTTGGCCCTCGTAAACTCGGCTGATTTCTGAGTGCATTGCATCCCTTACCGGCTGTCTGGCGGTGGTGTACAGTCTGATACCGCTCTGCTTCGCACGTGCGCAGTGCCAGGGCTTATTTTGGCACCAGAGGCTGGCTGGCTACGGCAGCTGTTCAAAAAGGAAGAAAAAACACTACGGTCAGGGACGCACCAAGCCGCCATTCCCTAGCTTTGTGAACGTGGCTGCCGGCGGCCTTACTTGTGGGTGGAGGCGCGCCATTGCATCAGGCTCGGTGTGGAGCGTTTTTTTTTTGCCCGCGCCGCCGCTCATAAAAAACGACACCAAAGACGGGGCCAACCCACCGGGGCGGCTCCCAGAATTCGTTGGGACGCTGGCTGTGAGTGACGCTCGTGCCAACTGAAGAACAGACGAGCCTGGCGGACGCTCGTGGCGCCTCGGCAAGCGCACGCCTCCTCTGCGTGTCTGCTCTGCGCCAGACGAGCCCAAGTGACGTCAGCGTCTGGGGCACCCGTAGTTTGACCGGTGGGGGAGGGGGGGGGGGGGGAGGAGGGTGCAGAGCGCAGAGTGCTGCCGGTGCACCGCGGGCACGGCAACAATGCTCGACCACTGCAAGCTTTGCAATCGATGTGCAGCGCGAACACGCACGCCACTGCAGTCACGAGGAGGCATTGCAATTCACGGCGGATGTAGGCCGGTACTTCTGACTCGCGGGGTGCAAGTCTGGTTCGGGTTTGTTGTGAGTAGCCGCAGATCAGGGCGTTTTTTCGGGTAGACCGTTAGAAACTGCGCAGTTCGCTGGAAACATGCACCCTGAATGAATTTCGAGGAAATGCCCTCGCTTTTTTGGTGGGATTTCATTTTGTGATGTATGCGATGGATAAGACTGAGGTGCTGGAAACAACTTGACAGCAACGGGTGCATTTTTGGTAAAAAGTGTTGTCCAATTTTGATATGTTCTAACGTTTTTTTAAATCGACTCCGACGTATTGCGGTATCTTGCGGGCCAATTTCAGCACTGAAACATGGCATACCTAACCAACCCTTTGCCAGTTTCGGGAGTCATGCGTCACTCCAGAGGTTATAGTGTGGAAGTGACATGACCCCTGTCAGTTCTTGACCCAATGCGGTCAGTTGGATGTAATGTGACTTTTACTCAGGTTGTTTCTACCGTTTCGGAAACCAAAACGACAACGACGCCGAACCTTTAAGAAACGAACTGGCGACAGCATTAAGATTAGACGGGTGCAAATAGAGGCAAACGGATGTAAACGGGTGCAAACTCCGAGCAACCAGCCCTGGTTGGGTCTTCGGTCGGTTTGCTTTCGCAAGTTGAAACAAAATCAGGTGATTCTCTGCAGACAGCATATCAGCCACATGTGTGTGACCCGCGGCGGTAAGCTATTGGTGTCAAACGGCTGCTGTCACTGATGTGGTGTCGTTTACAGCCGTTACGGCCTCCTTAACCGACGTTGGCCGTGAACGGCCATTACGCCCGTCATGGGCATTAACGGCGTGCCTTACGTGACTAATAAGCACCTTAACGTCTTACTAAACACCTTCGTTCTCGGACGAACGAATACACCGGCGCGCGAATATTCAGCGGATGCGCCGCCGCGGCGAGGTGCGCTTCGGGGAGCAGGGAAGAGACCTTGTTTACGTGGCTTGTTGGTGCGGTGGCTGCCTTCTCAGGCCGCCGAGCCGGTTTTAGCGTCTTTGCGGTGACTTCAGCCTTGGCTGGCTTAGCTATGGAGACTGTCGTCAAGGGATATCACGGCTAATCGCTGGTAGGGCTTGCGTGGGATATGCAGAGAAGTGTTGTAGGTTCCTCCTCGCAAAGACATTTGAGAACGAGGTCGTAGTTCTGTGTCTTTGCCTAGTGAGAAGGCGAAACTTAGGGCATGTTTCCGGATGTTTGTAAGAAAGCTCGCCACCATGTCATTAAGACCCACCGAGTGGCGATTCGCAATTTTTTTCGCAATTCGCAATTCGGCGAGTGGAGATTCCTTCTTTTAAAAAATTGGGGCTGGAATTTATCTCTATGCTGGAGAAGGATCCTGTCAATAGCAGCCTTCTCACTGTGTGGAATCATTTCGTTTGATATGAATGAATTAACGTGCATGCTTAGTCATCAGCAATCACCACCCGGAACTCAGTTGAGACAGAAAACCCTGAGAACTGATCGTCACCAAGGCGAGTACTCCGCGTCAGACGCCGGCAGATCTGTTATGACATTCACCATGCAAGAGTTTCATGTGCGTCTCGAATGCCAAAAAAACCTAAAATGTCTTAAGGTGAGCAGATCCGTTTCTGTTGATGTCGTGGCCTGTGTTGTGCCGCTTAACGCAGATCGGCAACATCACGCATCGGCAAGATGGTTCTGATCGGTGCAAGATCGATCTGCAAGACCTCAAGACGGCGGTCGGCAAGATCACGCGCACTCTTTTCTCGAATTTAATTCTCATTTCTGTCACAGTTCGCTTTCGAGTGTGCGAGCTATTCATACGCCCTGCGTCTCACCGCCGCCCTCACCCTCACGCAGCTGGTTCTGTACGGCACAAATGGTTGCCAAGCAACGCGCTCAACATCTCTTGTCACGCGGGCGTTACTCTGGCGCATGTCATAAGCTGCCTCATTGGTGTAGTTCTCTAACACCATCTTAATAGTACACTTACGCTGTTTCCACTAGATCACTACATTTCAATCACCACAGCGCTCAAGCAGGTGCTTTCAGGGCCAGAACACGACTAGAAGTGACAGCTACAGTTTTGACAGGCATTTGACAGCCATCCCATGACTATTGCCAGCACCACGTGGACCTGGGTGGTCACGACAGGCCGTGGTGATGGTGTATCACAAGTGAAACGACACGCTAATCTATCGCTGCTCAGTCTTCCGTTCTTCGCAAAGGCTGTTGCGTTAACGGATCAGAACCAGACCAGCCTTATTGGCTACCCAACTAAGGGAGCGGAAAGTCTCTGCAGCACGAAACCACAGCCCTCAATCGCATCAAGGTACAGAACCAGCGAGCGACTCTGCGGTCCGGTTGCCCTCCCCCCCCCCCCCCCCCCCCCCCTTAGTCCTCCTCCAGCCAGCAGTCGTGGCCGCCGGACCTCAGCGTCCCTGCCGCTGTGCTGGGGCGATCAGCAGCATCGACTCAACCCATCCGCAGGCCGCCTCTGGCGACCCCCGGCGAGGAGCTGGGCGAGCGGGCGGCGCGGGCCGGGCGACGCGCCAGCTCCACACGACCGTCGCGCTGGCGCTCGGCCTCGGCCGCCAGCCCGGGCCCCAGCCAGGCCAGCCGGATCACCTGGAAGAGCAACGTCAGCAGCGACCAGACGGGCATGCCGGCGGACGGCCGTCGGCCGACGGGCGCGAACAGGCCGCCCAGCATCGCGTCGAAAGACTCGCGCACCAGCGGCTTGAGCGGCGCGGACGAGTCGTGACGCGCCGCGCCGCCAAGCGCCACCTCGTGCGCGCCGCCGCCGGCCAGGCAGCGCGCGCCCAGCCGAGCCGCCTCGTCACCTTGTCCAGCAGGCAGGCCAGCGACAGCAGGGCGCTCAAACAAGCGGGGCACGCATCGCGGTTAGGCCCGTCGCCAGTAGGCGCAGTTCGCTGTCAGAGCGGCTGCCAAGCACGTTCACCTTCGGGGAGGAAGCAGTAGCAGGGGAGGACACCGCGCGCCACGCAACGCCTCCAGGTACGCCAGCAGCTGGAGTAGGCGTTGTCGTTACATGTTGCCCAGCGACCAGACCTCCTCAGCGGCCGTCTCCAGCGCCACATGAGCGCCGTCTTCAGGTAGTAGCTCTTGACGGCGCTGGCGCGGTCGCCCAGCGCCATCTTGCAGTACTTGAGCGCCAGCAGGCAGCGGCGCTGCTCGGGCCCCATGCTGCGGTACACGATGTACTCGTGCCGCGAGAACGACAGCCGCCACTCGAGTCGCTCGGTGGCGCTGCCGGGGAAGCCGACTGGCACGAGCAGTGCGCCCGTGCGGCAGAGGCGGCGCACGGTGGCGGCGCACGGGCGGCCGGCCGGCCGGCGGCGCGCCGCGAACGCGCCGCTCGGCCAGCCCGGCAGCGTCCAGGCCACCACGTCCATGGCCAGGGCGCCCGTGCGCAGGTTGAGGTTCTTGAGGCGGCCGGTGACGGCCGGGCCGGTCTGGTCTCGTCGGCCGCGGCTGACGCCGGCGCCGAACGCGTCCATCAGCCGGCGCACGCGGTCGCCGGCCAGCGGCAGCGCGCCCGGGTGGCGGCAGTCGGCGCGCCGCGCGTGCCGCAGAAGCAGGAAACCGGGCCGGCCTGCCGGCTCGGCGGTTAACGCAAGAGGCTCCGGCGGCGGTGCGTGCGCTGTGCTGTCCTCTCTTGTGTTCCCCGGCGTCCTCAGTGCCTCCTCTCCCGTCTCACACTCGGCCCCTGCTGCGACTTCCTCTTTGGTGTCCTCTGACGACTTCACTGCCACGCTCCCCGGCGTCTCTTCCCGTCCGCCATCTCCGCCATCGCCGTCCGCACGGCCGCCGGGCCCAGCTGGAACATGACGTCGAGGTCGGCGCGCTCTCCCGCACGCCACCATCCTCACATCGGAGCCCTCGCGCACGCTGCCGGACAGCCAGAGCTGCTGCACGCTCAGCCCGGCCAGCCGGTCGCAGACGCCGCAGCTGGGCTCGTCCGGCGACAGCGGCAGAGGCAGCGGCAGGCCGGAGCAGCGGCGCACGGCGCAGAACGCCAGCCGCAACA